TGCAATTCAGGAGCGCATTGAGGCCGCGGATGCAGCGTACCAAGATGCCAAGAAATCTGTTACCGACATACATCACCAGCTCAGGGATGTCCAGCAACGCTTGAAGAATGCCGGGCAAGGGATGGCGGAGTTCGAAAGCAAGATCCAAGCCGAGGAGCAACGCTTGGGTGCGGGAGCTGGCAGTGCTCGCCAGGAGCAAGAGACTCTTTTGAATGAAGCAAAAGCGGAAGAGGTTTCAATCAAGGAACAAATGGCCGAGGAAAAAGACAGATTGCCGCAACTCAGGGCTGAGTTGGCTCAAGCCCAAAAGGCCGCAGATGGGGTTAAGCACGAGTTCGATAGAAAAAGGGGGGAGATTTCCTCAGCTGAAGGGCGTTTGCGCAACCTGGAGCAGAACAGAGGGTCTCTTTGGGCTGCCTACGACAAGAAAATCCCACTTCTCCTCCAAGCTATCGAAAAGGATAACGGATTTCAAGAAAGACCTGTAGGCCCAATTGGAGCCCATGTGCAACTCACTCAACCCGAATGGTCGCCCATTCTGGAGACGGTCCTTGGCGCGACCCTGGATGGTTTTCTTGTGTCCAACAAGACGGATCAGCAACGTCTGGCTAGACTGATGCAGCAGGTCAGACTGGACCGGACCCCTCCGATCATTATCGGCAAACGGTTGCCACCTAACGTCAAGCTAAGGGAGCCTGATCCAGCTTTCGATACGGTCCTTCGTGTACTCAAGTTCGACAACGACTGGGTTCGCAGCCAGCTCATCGTGGCCCATACCATTGATAAGATTGTCTTGATAAGAGAGAGGGCAAAAGCACAGGATGTGATGATGAGCGACTCACCGCCGCCGAACGTCCAGGCTTGTATATCCTTTCACGATGGCGCGGGGAAACGAGGCACTGGCCTTCGAATGGCCCGGTCCGGTGGCGCAGGGTTCAGTCAAAGCCCCATCAGTCCTTTCCCACGAGCGCCACGAATGAAATCGGACGACGAGACACAAATCAATCTCGCCAAGGAATCCCTAGCTCATCTCCGGGGAGACCTGCGATCCATTGAGCTGAAGCGGCGAGAACTTGACCAAACGGTTGCGAAATGCAAGTCGGTTCTGGCGACTCAAGGCCAACAAAACCAGTCACTGGAGCGACAGCTACTGAGGGTTCAGGCCAGAATTGAGGACATTTCAGCAGAGCTCGACCAGTACGAAGGAGCCGACGGCAGACTTATCTCCCTCCGGGAAGAGCTAGAGAAGATCAAGGCCGAACGAGACCATCATGGCAGTCAATACGGAGAGATGCGACTGCGACAGGAGGAACTCAACAAGAAGTGCGAAGAGTGCAAGAAGACTCTTGCCGAGGAGAAGGGGCGGATGAAGGAGTTCGAGGTTCACATGGCCAAGTTACAGCTCGCAGTCCAGAAGGCGGAAGACTTGCGAAAGATGGCTGTTCTTGAGAAGAACCGTGCCTTCCAGAACCGTGATGATGCGATTCTAGAAAAAGAACGAGCGGAGAGAAAGCGCGATGAGCAGGCCGAGGTTGTCGCTAATTTCACCCAGCAAGCCATGGAAAAGGCACCTCAGCGAGTGTATATCGAGGAAGGCGAAACACATAGGAGCATCGAGAGCAAGTACGCCACCGTCCACCAACAGCTTGAAAAGAGAGCGCAGAAACTCGGAGCCTCGGACGAGGAGATCAAAGAACGGGCGGCCAGGGCCGAAGCCGCATACGAAGCTGCGCAACAGCTTTACAAGGGGCAACAGGAAGAGCAGGCGGCAGGTAAGCTCAACTTGGAAGATCGATTAAACCGGTGGCGACTGTTCCAGCGACACATCTCGGCGCGCGCTCGCATATGCTTCCAGTATCTCTTAAGTGAGCGTGGATTTAGGGGCAAACTTGCTATCGACCATCCTCAAAAGAGGCTGCAGCTTTTCGTGGAACCAGATGAAACCAGAAAAGGGACTGGCGGTCGAAGCACAAAGACGTTGTCAGGAGGCGAGAAGTCGTTCTCGTCCATCTGCATGCTGCTGGCTATTTGGGAGGCCATGGGCTCTCCTCTTCGGTGCTTGGATGAGTTTGACGTCTTCATGGACAACGTCAACCGCACCATCAGCACAAACATGTTGGCAAGTCTTGTCATAATGGTGCGAGTGATTTCTTTTGTGACTAACCTCAATATTTTTCACTAGATTACTGCCGCCCGACGCTCAGTGTCACGTCAGTACATTATGATCACACCGAACGCCATCGAGGGACGGGCCACTCTCGATAAGGACGTCAAGATCATCCGGTAAGTAGAAGTTCTCGCCGAGAACGCTCGTAATGGAAAGTGATCCTTGTAGAGATGTCCAGCTAATGCAGTTTCCAGTCTCACCGATCCCCGACAGAGGACTCTGGTCTGATATTGCAAGACCCCTTGTATGTGCAGCGCACTGGCAACGTGTTTTTTGACGATGGGCGTTCGAACATATATTATGGCAATGGGTGTTTTCTAAATGACGCTCGAGTATCTGGCAATGAGCTCGTCGCGGAGTGGTTGGTAGCGTATTTAGCTGGCTGGTGATTGAGGGATAAGATTCTATCAGACCGAGGCAGTCGTTTTATACAGTTTGGTGTACATGATACAAACATGGTAGAAGACAGCGGGCTGCGTTGTAAGAAATGGGCACCAGCCGCAGTGGCCGTAGGTCCAAAGCCTAGATTCGGAGCCCCTTGCTTCTCAGTACGTTGACACCTGCGCTAGCTGTGAAGCCAACCCACTGTCCCACGGAGCCCAGGACACCGCCAGCCTCCTTGACCTCGTTCAGTCTCCGCCGAAGGAAGTCCTTCGTATCTCGAAAACCAGCGGACTTGTCATTGGTCATGAAAAGCTCGCTTGAGGCGTATATCAGTGATAAGCTCGCACGCTTAGTATACCACGAAGCATCGACGGAGACGTCGCCGGAAAGAAACCAAATCTCGTCCACCAGTTTGGCCAGTTCCTTGATTGAAGCGGGCGCATAGCTCGGTTGTGCCATGATGGCCAATGCCTGTTGCATCCACTGTCAGTATGTAGAGAGCATACCTGTTGTCCGTAACAAGCAAGAAGAATGATAGAGGGAGAAAGGAAGAAGTGGGAAAGGGAAGGGGATTGCGCTACCTCTTGCCAGCGGTCGATGATGGTTGCATTTTCTAACAAGCGCTCCCACGTGAGACGCTCGACTTTCTCGTCAATATCAAACTGCGACCTCTCCCCGAATATTTCCTTGCTCTTAACAGCCAAGCCTTCCCGCCTTTCCACAAGATGGTGACGGATCAGGCTAAAGGGGCCATCCGACAGCACACTGGTGCTGATATCGAGATATCCGGTATCCTTGGCGCCAAGAGCGAGAGCCTTGTGCGAGAAACCGTGCTCCGGCACATGCTTGTGGGCGGCGGATAGGATAGTTTGTTCGTGTGGGTGGAAATATGTCGTCGAATCCGGATGGTCGTAGGATTGATAAGATCGGCTTGTTCGGGGGCCAGCAAAGGCTGCACTCGGACACTGGCGAAGAGACCGCAAGGCCGTTCTAGCTGCTGGGCGGCAGAGAAGTGACATGGCTTTGAAGTGAGCGGCAACGTAGGTAGGTCTGGCAAAAGGCAGAGCGGAGGTTTGTAGCATTCGTGGCGACAAATCGAGGATAACGACAGGCAGCTATAGTGATGCGTTTTGCCCTCTCCTTCTGGTCTGGATGCTATACCTTTCCGAATAGTGACAAAGCTCAGAAGGCGGTTCAATCACGGATGATCCCGCGTCGTCTAATTCCTCGAATCGGCTCGGCAGACTTTGGCTAGGGGGCGTGGAAATAGCAGCGGTTAGCAAGCAAGCCGGATTAACTGATCCTCCAGGCCTGCATAGATACCCTCAAAGGGTAAGAGTTACTTGGACTTGCCCCCCTTTATGCTTAATAACGTCCGTCTTCTAAACTTATTTTACGAATATCGGTATCGTCAGGGCTGTAGTTTACAATAAGCGCCATTCCTAATAGGGTCGTCATTTTGATGGTGATGAGGTCGAGGTTGGCGAGGTATGGAGGCGAGATACAGCAGTCACAGCTAGTCAGCCAACACCAGGGGTTTGTAGTGCCTCTATCTACAGTACTAGGTCAAGAATCTGGTCACAGCAATAAGGATGGCTAATCAAAAGCTGCAGTAGGTGGTTTGGACACAGGACCTTTGGTGACGCACTGTGAAGTGTCCTCGAGCTATTGATGGGTTCCCCCCCTGTCAACCCGAGAGTACTGTGCACAATAACAGCAATAAACCTCATATCCTAAAGGCTACAGGTTCAAATCCAGTTTTCTTAGATTTTTTTGTTCCAAAACAGCTCCGCCGGGGAGGGTTAGAATAGTACTAACCCACCCTGCTTCCTACGCTGTGCTCCAGGTTAGGATAGGCTAAGAATATCCCTTTTGCCTCTATTTTTTTATCAAGATAGTTGTGTCATCACTAAATTCACTGTTTACTGAGGTTTATTACAGTTATTGTGCATGGTACTCTCAGGTGGACATAGGGGGGACACTATCAGCTTGTCTGATCACTTGAAAAAAAGAAAGAAAAAATAAAGACCTGGACGAAACCCATCTTACCGTGAACAGTCTTCCCGTGATTGAACATACTCAATGAGAGACAGGTTCGATGGTTCAAACTTTGCACAAGGCTGAGGAGCATGTAATCATCATGTAGCGTCCGTCGTCGGAAGTGGGATAGCGAACCTGAGAAGTCAAGATTGCGAGCTGTTGTGGGAATCGGGGAAAACGTACCCCCTGTTCCACCCTTCCAGAGCCCTTCAAGCTCTATTGCCGCGGTCCTCAATCCCCTGTAGCTCGGATCCACTTATGTATCTCTGCAGCCAATCGCCGTTGGCAATTGAGAGGAAGCATTGTTAGGTGTTTGCTGAACTACCTTAGTGAGCACTGACCAGTGGGAGCTACGGTCGGAATTCCAACCGTTGAAGGAGGAACCCAAATACCTTTTCCTCTCCTTCTGGAAACCGGTACGGAGACATTAAGAGGATCGCTGCTGGTTGATGCCTGATACCCTTGCATGCCTGGCGCCTTTCTCCAAGCTTCTCCATTGGCGGCGGTCTTTTCGCCAATGTCGCGTTGTGTTTGCGACATCTTTGATTCTGCCTTGCCTTGCCTTGCCTTGCCTTGTTTATTCCTCCCTCTTGCAGGAACCGACAGACCCATCTGCAACCAAAGCAAAGTACATCACCCTCACTCAGCTCGAGGTAAGTGGACAGAACACCTCACATCGCAAGATTCTTCCGTGTTTGAAATCGAAACCCCTCTCCCCTTGTCTTCCGCCTCACTTTGCCCAAGGAGTTAACTAACGCCTTGACTACCTTCAGCACCATCTACCGTTCACTCACCGTCACCAATCGCGGCGGTACACCTGTATGTGACCTCCAACCCTCTTTTTCTTCATGTCCCTCAAGGTACCTCCCACTTACCTTCTTAACCCGTCCCCGAAGAGTGGGCGCCACCCCGCCGAGCGTAGTGTACATCAGCTGTGGTGTACTTCAAGTCGCGTCGCTCAAATTGTTCCGGCCCAATTCGCGTCATCTCCCTCCGTCCTGTTTCATTACGCTGCCGCTGCCGCCCACACACATGTCCAATTGACCATACCCACCCTCCCTCCCATCTCTTGACAACCGTCAACGCCTGTCTGCTGCCTGCTTTATTTTGCGAGCCCGCGCCTACCCTAGCTCCCCACCCGACCCGACTTTTGCCTTGTCCAACCTCACTCTGCCTCGCCGCGTACTTTACTTACCTCATCCATCAGTCACTACACACCACACGTACACGCTGTCCATTCTGCCCTGCCTGACCTCAGGTATCTCGACAGCAACGCGCGCGCGTCACATCACTTCGCATTGTATTGTATCGCATCACATCACAGCACACCACAGCACCAGCAGCAGCTACACGCAACCACCAGCAGCGCATCACGCCGCCGCACTGCATATTCTGAGCTGCGAACCAAGTCGTTTTCCACCATTCCCTCTCGGATCACCCGAGTTGTCAATTATGGGTAAGTCTCCGTCGGGTCTCTTTTGTCTCTATCTCCATCGCCGCTCGCCTTGTCTCGTTCCTCCCCTCCCTCCAGATGGTCTTTCCCGTCATGCTCGCGCGTCCAGCTTCCTCCTATATCGCTTCTGCTCCTGCACCAGCTTCGGGTCTGCCTTCACATTGCTTGCCATTGTCGGCGCTGTTGCCATCACAAGCATCCCCCGCAGCACCGTAACTTCAGGCGTCACCTTGGTTGCCTTACCTCCCATTCCCTTGCCTTCTTGAGTGTACTTGCTTTCCGGTTCCTCGTCACTGTATGGTTCCTCCCCATACAATGTACATGTTCACCCTGAAACACCATCCCCCTTCTTTCTTTCTATGCCAACCCTGCTCTCGCGACGCTGAAGCCGCAGCCATGCTTGGGTGTCTAGAGCACTCTGCCCTTTCCCCCTATACCTTTCAGTTTGTCAGGTTGAAGTGAGGCAATCATCTTTCGATGGGACGGCGAGGCTCTGACGAACACTCATACGGCATCTCCGGCCAGCATCTTCCCAAGCAGCTTTCCCGCCCCCATCATCTTACCCTGCTTGTCCTCTCTTTATCCTGCCGCTGCCCTGGCCATACACGGCATCACCCGGCTTTACATGTACATGCACACACGGCTACTCTGGGTACACTACCTGAGTTGGGACAGATGCCGACATCCCTCCATCCGCCCAACCATTCAACCCCCATTCATCACACCCCATCCAACCATTTACTCACTCATACACTCGCCCATTGATTGATCCAACCATTTGGCCCATACACACACACATTTACATTACACGCGTGAGCAGCTCCACGCCTCACGTAGCCCCTTGTACCGGCTTCCCACCCACACCTCCCTACCTTCCTTGCCCCCTCCCCTTCCCCTCCCCCTCTTCGTCCTTTCCCACCCCTCCTCTACAGAGTACCGCCCACACCTACCTGGCCTTGGGTACCGTACCTTAGCTGCATGCCCTTCCGCTCCTTCTCCGCCAATTGGCCTCGTGCCCCCTCGTCCTTCTCTTAGATTGCTACTGCCCACCTTCCAGTTATCCAAATATCATTGCTGCTACCCTCCTCCTTCCTGCGTCTCCGTCTCCCTGTTCAACCCTCTCATGTCCTTGCTTTCTTCTCACAAACACTTTGAGCAAATCCTGACTTCTCAAACTCGGAGACTAACTTGACCTCATTGTAGCTGATTCCGGCGACACCTATCGACCTGGAAGTGTAAGACCACCCCGATTCCTTTCGTTCTCCGAAATCAAAGCATCCCATCCGTATCGCTATCCTCCCGCGTCTTGCTCTGATCCCCCTGCTGGACTCCATCCGCACCCGTGCTTGCGCCGGTGCTTGTCAGCAGTTTTACCCATTCCCATGAATTGCGCCGCGCTACCCTGAAGCCGCCGGCATGGCCAGATGTCTTCATCATCGTTGCGCTTTCCTCGCTCCTTTGGTATGATGGCAGCATAGCGAGCTAGTTTCATCTCCAGGCACTTTTGGGAAGGGCTGTCTATAATGACAGCACCTTCCTTGATCTTGGTTCATCGACCTCGGAAGGCCGCGCCTTCTTCATACGGCCATGCCATCTCCCCAACCTCTTTCCTTCAGAAAACTGTCTTCCCGCCACTTGGCCTTATCTGCTTCTTTGGTTGGTCATCACGTCCAACACTCGCTTTCCTACGTCGTCAAGTGACAAACCCACCTGAAAGCACGTCATGAACGACTGTTGTAGCGGCTTTTTCGACCAACAGCCAATGGCGACGTTCTCTGCTAACTTGCGCCAGCGGGAGAGATCTCGGTCCCCTCGACGCGGGCGTTCACGCAGTCCCAACCGCGCTTCAAGACGTCGTTCCTTTTCTCCTCGAAGCCGTTCCCGTAGTAGAGACGAGTACCGTGGAAGAAGAGACCGTTCCCCCATGACCGGAACAGGAGCTCCATCTGGAGGATCTGGCACTGGGTACGGAGGCGCACCGCCGCATCGATCATACGAGGAGCGCGCAGCCGCTCGCGAGCAAATGATGAGCAATATTAGGGAGACGTCTCAGCAAGATCGCCGAGTCTATGTCGGCAACCTTTCCTACGATGTGAAATGGCACCATCTCAAGGACTTCATGCGACAGGGTGAGTGCATTCTCGTACTTGGCGGCTTAGTGTTACGACACGGAGACTGACCGCGTGCTGTTCACTTTAGCCGGAGAGGTTCTCTTCGCCGACGTGTTACTACTTCCAAATGGAATGTCGAAGGTGGGCTTCTACACGTAGTCTATGGCTGGTTTTTCTTTTGTGGACTCTTCCCTCTGGCTATTGATGGAATCGTTGGATTGACGGGTTGGGACGTGTGTCCATGGGTCTATGTAGGGATGCGGGTAAGTCTGCGTTCCATCGCCAGACTACTTGGTCATAGCACTAACAAACGATGTAGAATTGTGGAATATGCGACGCGGGACCAAGCCCAGAACGCTGTGGCAACGCTCAGCAACCAGAACCTCATGGGCCGACTTGTCTATGTCCGAGAAGTACGTCATAGAACCAAAACCCGTCGATCGCTGTGGGTAGTAACTAACTGTTATCCCTAGGATCGCGAGGCTGAACCTCGGTTCATCGGTGCTACCGCCAACCGCGGCGGTTTCGGTGGCGGCGGTATGAACCCCAGTGGTTTCGCTACTGGCGGCGGCGGCGGCATCGGCGGCTATAACCCGGGCGGCGGCAGCCGTCAGATTTACGTTGCCAACGTTTGTGATCCCTTCGTCCCTGCAACAGTTGGAACGCCGGCCAGCACTGACTGATCTTCTCAATAGCTCCCGTACACTGTAGGCTGGCAAGACCTCAAGGATCTGTTCAGACAGGCTGGTAAGTCAAAGCCCGCCTCTTACACACACCGCCGCTGGCTATCAGGTCCCCAACCCTTGAGGAATGCTCGGTGACTAACTATACGATTTAGCTCGAAATGGAGTCGTGATCCGCGCCGATGTTCACTTAGGACCGGATGGTCGCCCAAAGGGATCCGGAATTGTCGTTTTTGAGAATCCCGATGATGCCCGCAACGCCATTCAGCAGTTTAATGGCTACGACTGGCAGGGCCGCTTACTTGAAGTCCGCGAAGACAGATTTGCCGGCGCTGGAGGCCCTATGGGCTTCGGAGGCCGAGGCGGCTTTGGCGGCGGTGGCATGCGAGGCGGTTTTGGAGGCGCTTATGGTCGCGGCGGCTTCGGCGGTGGCCGTGGAGGTTTTGGCGGCGGTGGATATGGTCGAGGAGGCTTCGGTGGTGGCCCCGGCGTTGGTGGCATTGGTGGTCCTGGCGCCCCCGGTGGCTTCGATGCCAATAACGCGCCATCGGTTCCCCCTAACCCCTTCACTGACTATGCCACCGCCGGAACCGACCGAAGCGAGACTATCTACGTGCGAAACGTGAGTCATCTGATCGCCGGGCTGTAGCCAAACGCTAACCCTTTCCAGCTTCCCTGGTCCACCAGCAACGAGGATCTCGTGGAACTCTTCACGACTATCGGCAAGGTCGAGCAGGCAGAGATTCAATATGAGCCTAGCGGTAGATCGCGCGGAACCGGTGTGGTTCGCTTCGATTCCGCAGAGACCGCTGAAACCGCAATCGCCAAGTTTCAGGGTTACCAATACGGTGGCCGACCCTTGGGTCTCAGCTTTGTCAGATATCTGAACGCTGCAGGTGGCGGTGACATGATGGAGACGGACGCCCACGCGGGTTTGACACAAGATCAGATTATGTGAGGGCGGATTTGAGCATAAAAACGGGCCTGAGGTAGTTGTTGCGATCGACGAGCTCGGCGAAGCTTGGGTTGTCATCCCAGCTATATGCAGCCAAAGCAAAAACACCCTCGCGACGGGTCGGCATTCAACTGCACGCAGTTGTTCCTACACCTGGGCCACGCTTCATTCTACACTCCTTTTCTCTCTTTCTCTCTCTCTCTCTCTCTCTCTTTCGCTCCTTCTCTTGCTTCTTCTCGCAATTGTCTTTCGCTTTCATCACGATAAACAAACCGTCTTCAACTTGCGTTTCGGGTACTCAAGGCGGGGAGGGATTAGCCGCACACACGAACTTGTCGACCAGTTTCGTGACGACTTTTTCATCATGTAACGTTGTTATCAGTTAGGATGGTCGTTCTGACCCCGGTAGCCCTGGTAGCACAGTCATTGCAGGCAAGTATCTCGGCACAGCCTTCGTCTTGGGGCTCGATGTGGACCTTCACAGAAAAGTTATCATTTGATAGGGACGCATGTCTTAATTTCTTTGCAAGGTCGAGCGGGAGGTGACTCAGAGCCTCTACCTAGAATGTATTTTGAAATAGCATATGAGCTTTGTGCGCGACGGTGGTTACCAGATATGACGATTTGGGCTAGACAACGACGACGTAATGATTGATCATAGGAGAAGTGTGGCGGACAGGCGACATGCTCTTAAGTTGTATAACTCACAACAATGCGTCGGTATGTCTGGTTTGCAGATGAGTGAACAGGCGTTGTTGCTAGAGGGCATGGTGTAGCCCGCATCATATGAGTTTGTCAAATGCTGTGGACTAATGTCGCTCAGATCATTCATCTTTGTCAGGTGGATGTTGGGTTTGGCAGGTCGCCAAACGCAGCTCATCGCTGCAGTGTGACGTTGATGATAGGCGAGATGAGCCTTGAACCTGTGGACACCATGAGAGGGTAACGCGACTGCCGAGTCATGAAACGGACCTTCAGGCTTGGGTGCTTTAGCCAGTGATGTTTGTGCTTGTAAGTGCGTAGCGTCACGATACTCGTCTTCTGGCCGAGCCCTCACAAGTTCTCATCTTGGCCAGTCATAGACCGCTACCCAAATGCCATACAAACTAGCCATGTGCAACATACTATTGCAGTCCTACCGGCGTTGTCTACCAGAGAGGCGCTGCTTATATAGCTCGTATAAAGGTTGAATTGTTGTTGGGAGCCGGGCTGGTTTATCTTCCATCTTTTTTTTTTTACGATTTTTTTGCATTGTTCCCTGAAACTTACAGACCAAGATCTATCTCCATGTGCGAACTCCATCATTACAATTGCACTGGGTGCGGAACGAGGTGGCGAACGCACAAGAAGTTATCAAGCTGCGAGAGCAGTGATCCAGCTTCCATGTGCCCAGACAGTCTGTGCATGTACGTTGGCGACCCAAAGAAACCCAGGCGGGCTGAGTGCGAAGCGTGTACACAGGTCAGAGAGACTCTTGAAGAGCTGGGCGACAATGGCATAAACCAGGAACGACTGATTTTTGGACTTGATTGAACGATTCCGAAAACAAAGTGGGCGATGGATATGGTTAGATTCAAGGCAACCGGGTTGACGTTAATCGTGAGCCGGAGAGGACAGAAACTTGGACCTCAAGGCACGTGGTTCTGTATATACATCCTTAATGTATGCCCAGAATTGTAACATAGCCTTGTAGCTGCCTCTCAAGTTGCAGTTCATCTGTAGCATCTAGCCACTCGTCGACGTTCATTGTTTGATGCCGAAGAGGCTTAGAGCTGCAACGGCATACGCCCTCGGATCAACAAGCCACATCGCAGGGCTTGCATCACAAACGCCTCCTGTCAGACATACCCAATGTCAAACTTGTTGGTTCCAAGACTCGCATTTTCTGGCCCCTACAGCTTCGAGGCATCGTCTTCATAGTGGCCCTTATCCATATCGCCATGCGCAGCCTCAGCATGGTGGCTCCCTTATGAAAGGACGTTGCCCAAAGCCAACACAACGTCAGGAAGCAGCGGGAGTCGTCATAGCCCCTCCCTTTTTCTTCCTGGCCTTGGCCTTCTTCTTGCTCCGGTCTCTCGGCTTCAGCGCCCCCATGCCTGCTTTGCAGATGTCGGCGTATCGAGCATAAAATGCCTCCATATCATCTGGCTCAACTATCGTTGATATCTTGACCTTGATATCCCTGTGTTTCTTTGACTTGCCATTCGTCGCGCGCACGATAACAGGCAACGGTGTCGCGGGATGGAGATCTGGGAAAGGGTCTGCGGCCGTTGGCGAGGGCTGGTCCTGTTCGTACGATACTTGGCGGAAACGTCAGCAATTCATCAGCATTGGGAAGGTGGCAGCCGTGATGATCATACATCGCTTCTGAACGAGAAATATCGAGCCATGGCCATTCCCTTTGCACTGCTCAAAGAGGTCGACTAACTTGCCAAAGAACTGCACAGAACGCAGGTTAGCCAGGCGGTGAAGGGAAAACGCAAGCCACATACGCGTGACAAATGCAATAGGAAAGGCGAGCTGTGATATGTGGTTACTTACCTCGTCCTGGCTCAGGTGACCCGACATGATCAAAACCGCTGCTGTAGGCAATGCTGGGTGAATACCTGCTTGTAGGCAGTTGGATTGTTCTCTATGCAAGGTGCTGTTCCATGCAAGGGCCCCCAATCAAGTAGATAAGATCGAAGTCCGGAAGGCTGCGCGATTCCAATCAAAAGGCTCCAGCCCCGCAGTAGTTACATATACGTGCTAAGAGGGGTACACTTACGATGTACAATCGACGTGAACTATGGGTTCTTATATGAGAAACTTGAAAATGTTATAAAAAAATACTTTGTTAATACTATTAGCTTTGTAAATTAAGGATCATTCTGTGAAGATAAAGTGTGCATACTGTCAATAAGCTGTTTTTATGCAGCTGAAGTTATCGGTTGTAGGGGTGCCCGTGTTACGTGCTGCATTGCGTTATCCTGTTGCGCCCGTAGTGAAAGGGGCCTAACTAGACCACCTAGTAGGCTAGTACCTAGGTCCTTACCTCGATAGACATCTTGTGGCGCCCGCGGGCTAGCTGGTATTCCCCGCTGTTGGTGCCATGATTTAAACCCCGTTGCTCCACTAAAAAGTTTCCTGTGATGTAGATAGAGTCCATCGGTGTCTTCCAGCGAAAGCTTTTGATCCGAATATTGCTAAGCCACCTGCACTTTGCCATACTTCAAATCGCCCTGTGGCCAAATATTTTCTCCAAAGCTTCTGACACTGTCGTCCCTTCACCCTGACAAATAATTCCCTGCCCCGGATTGCAGACGTAATCACCGCGATGGCCCCAAAGCCGCTTGTCGTACCCCCACAACTCTTGAAAGAGATTGGCGCACCAGAACTAGCTGGCACCTTGCGATCTAATGGACGGTGGAAGAGCCAGGGTCAGAACAGAAAAGACCGGCGAAAAGCTGAGAGGCAGTCGAAGAAGCAGCGGCAGGCAACAGCATGGAGGGATCCCTCCAAACAAATCCAGCAACATGTTGAAAGAGGTCAGAATGAGGACATTGACCAAGACTCGTCAGGCGATGAAAAGAAAACGCCGGCGCAGCAACGTCACGAACAATTCTCCCACAAGAAGCGCAAGCGAGAAGACCTAGGAGAGACAAACGACAGCGACGAACTAGAGCAGCCACCAGCGGCGAAACAACCATCCCGTGGAATGCAAGAGAAATTGGCTAAGGACGATGCCGAGATTGAGCAGCTCCAGCGCAAGCTGGGGATGAAAAAGGGTCGCAAGTCATTGCCCAAATCTTTCAAGGATGACGGTCTGGAAGATTTGCTAGGCGATCTCAATGATCCCAGCAACTGGGATGAAGTGGGCGGCAAGATGAAGAGTGAGGCCGAAGAGTGGCTGGCGCAAAAACGTCAGAAGGCGACTGAGACACTTGCGAAAGCTCGGCGCGCTCCAGAAAGCGAGGAGGACTATGAGGATGAGGGAGACTTCAGCGTCGAGCTCGATTTTACTCGTGATGACGACAGCGACAGCGACGGATCTAATGACGACGCCATGGTTTCTGAAGATGATTCACATGACCAGAGTTCTTTTGAAGGCTTTGATTCGGGAGAAGAGGAGACAGCACAAGACACCAAACGCGTCAGGGAGAACCCCTATCTACCTCCGATTGCAGCCGGCACCCAGCTGCCAAAGTATATTCCTCCATCATTGCGAGCAAAATCTGGCGGCGATGCAGACGTGGAGGCTCAGATCCGTAGGCAATTGCAAGGCCCTGTCAACAGAGTGGCTGAGGCTAACCTAACCTCCATTGTCGGCGAGATCGAAAAAATATATCAGAATCATCCAAGGGGCCATACCAACAAGATCCTCACCAGTCTTCTAATGGCTCAGATCTGCGACCCCACGAGCAAGCCCGACACGTTACTGGTGCTATCTGCTGGATTCATTGCGGCCCTTTACAAGGTCATCGGTGTTGACTTCGCAGCACACTTCCTCACTACGTCCGTGGAACGATTTCAGGTCGAGAGGGAGAAAGCAGTTGCAATGGCGGCTGAGCAACGGATACCAACCAAAGAAACATCCAACTTGCTCACTGTGCTAGCGGAAATGTACATCTTCCGCGTTATTAGCAGCAACCTCATGTTCGACTTTGTGCGGATTCTTCTCGGCGACCTCTCAGAGCTAAACGCTGAGCTCCTTCTACGAATTGTGCGTGTTGCGGGCCCCCAGCTGCGCAAGGACGATCCATTGGCCCTGAAAGACATTGTCAGCCTGATTCGCCCGGCCGTGGCCAATATTGGGGAGGGCAACCTGACGGTTCGCACAAAATTCATGATTGAAACAATCAGCGACCTCAAGAACAACAAGATCAAGGCCGGCGCACAGGATTTGGTCATTCTCAATGAGCATGTAACTCGCATGAGAAAGGTGTTGGGGTCCCTCGACACGCTAAAGCTCAAAGCTACGGAGCCCCTGCGAATTGGGCTCAAAGACATTGAGAACGCAGATA